TAAATAAATAAAAAGGAATATGAAAAGATTCTAATGTTACAATTTAAACTTTGTTGAATTTCCAGAAGTCCTTCAGTTTTCCCCATAATATTAATGGTATCTTGTTGTGTATAAATAAAATGACTTTCATAATAAAAATATAAACTTAAATTTAAAATCAAAATTTTGAAAGAGATGGTAGAGATTAGCAATTCATTTCCTGGGTTTGAAGAAGACACATTGCTTGCTGTACAAAGTTTAATTTAATTCAATCCAATCTAAGTGACGTTAATAGAATTGCACATTGATCTGCTATACTTCTTTCCATTCAGGACCTTCTTTCTTCATCTTCTAGTAGCTTGTATTTTGTCACTGATTTCTAAGTTATAGTTAACACCACCTATATCTCTTAGGATTTGCAGGGCCAACCCAACCATCAGCCAGAATGAAACAGACATCCAAAATAGTAGACATTAAGGAATATAGTAATGTGACAAGGTATAAATGAAAAATAACTGATGTGTCATAAAGACTGCCTTTTAAATCCTAAATTAATTTGCTTCCTTTAGTGTGGTGGAGAAAATTGTCCTATTTCTAGTGCAGGAGTAAAAAAAGTTTAGTTGCAGCAATTGGCTTCTGTACAGGGAGGGATGACATCTTCTACTTTGCTTTATAGAATAATACAATGTATGGGCTGGAAGAGCTCTTATTGGTCATGTTCTCAAATCTCTTGTTCATACTAAACCATCCTTGACAGATGACCCTTCAGCATCAATATGAAAGCTTCCAAGAAGAGGCAATTCACCTCTGCTCTAATCAGTGTTCTTTTGCTTGACAGCTCTTACCATCAGGAAATCCTCCCTCATATTCAGCACCAACTTCCTTCCTTTTGATTTTAACTAGTCTGCTCTTGTCCTGCCCTTGGATTCAATAAAGAACAGGAGCACTCTGTCATGCACATGATGTCCTTTTAGATATCTGTAAACAACTATTATATCTCCCCATAGTCTCCTTCTTTGCAGACTAAATATAGTATGCCCAACTTCTTTAACCATTTATCATAGAATGAAGTTTCTAAAACCCTTATTATCTGAATAGAAATCCTTTGAACCTGCTTGAACATCTCTGTGTCACTTTTAAGTTCAGTGTTCCAAACTGGATGCTGTATTTGAAGTACAGTCTAACCAGCCAGAGTATAATTGGAATTGCTACCTCTGATAAGCTAGACCCAATAGTTTTATTAATGTAACACAGATTTTCATTATCCCTTTTAAAGGCTACATCACACCGCTTGCTCATATTCAGCGAGTGATTCACTGGCACTCCCAAACCTTTTGGTTTTGCCAAAGGTAAATCTGGAAGCAGAAAAATAAGAGAAAAAGCTGAAGAATGCATTAAGCACAGCATAGAAAAAGAATGACTTTGACAGCAAAGCATAAAATAAATAGAAAAATATCTACATACAAGGCAATCAGGGCCGGATTTTCCTATAGGCTAACTAGGCTTCAGCCTAGGGCCCCAAGATCAAGAGGGGCCTACATTCAAATTGTTAGCAAAATTAAAATTACACTTTCACTATAGGTGAAAGGGCCTCATAAGTGGAATAGCCTAGGGCCTCTTTTCATCTAAATCCGGCCCTGAAGGCGATAAAAAGATATGACAATATTCAATAAAGGATTGTAGACACAAGACAAAATTTCCTGTCCCCTCGATAGCTGGGAGGTTTTCATCTTCATGAAAAGGAGCTATAGACAATCCCCAGATTGTTGCAGCCAGTGTAAAATAGTTTTCCTGGCTAGGTCTACACTGAGGCTCAAAATAACTAGAGTGTTTGTCATTTTTTATACTATTACAAAATATAGGGGATATAAATAACACAGCACCTGGAGTTGGTTCAGTGATACAACTTGTCAGCAGTTCGAATGAACCTGAAACATTTGAATAATTGCCAAGGACATTTCAATTAAGATATTGTCCTTGGTTTATATCTCTCTATCCTCCTTTCTAGAGATGCTGGACAATGTTGTATGTGTTGTTTGTACTTCTTCCCTAATAGCTATCAAAATTTATGTGAGATAGAACCAGCCTATTTATCCTAGCTGACCTTCCATGTGCCTGGTCTTGGCAAAACAATTCTAAAGGAAAGATATAGCATTCAAGCAAAACTGTAGAGGACATGATCAATTAAGGATGGGGTGGGGTGAGATATAGAGACCTATTTATTTTTGGAAAATCTAAAGCTTTAACTAGCCATACTACCTTCTGAAGAGAGGCTATTTTATATAGGAAAACATAGGAAAAAATAAGTTACATCACTTAAACATCTCTGCTGTTACAATCATCTTTGGCAAACCTACTACCCCTTCTAATCTAATATACCCTGCTATAAAGTTACAAATTCAGTACGTATCATATTATTTTTCATCACACAGACTGAGATAGTGCCTCATTATTCTAGAGATCTGAGCCCAGCAAAATGAAGGTTAGCTATAATAGTTTGCAATGGGAAGCTGGAAACTATATACCTTTCATCAAAGGTATAACTCACTAGATCTACTGGACTACAATTCCATTCTGAGAATGGTAATCCTATTTTATCTGGAGATTTTAGTATTCATGCTGAGGTTCTGGAGGTTACAATATCAACTCATTGAGAGAATACTGAGCATATTGTTCCCAACATATTGGAAAGGCATCAAGTTGAAGAGGTCTGTTACAAAGCATATATTTTTACTGTAATCTTTTATGTTTAGTTTAGTTTAGTTTTAATTTAGTTTAATGCAATTTATATGCCGTCCTATCTCCAATGGACTCAGGGCGGCTCACAACAATAAAATGCACAATTGCACATTAAAACAATATAAAATTAAAAGTCCAAATTAAAACTATTTAAAATCTATTTAAAATCTATTAAGAAAACCCCCCCATCAGTCCAGGCTGCGAAACAGCCAGGTCTTCAAATCACAGCGGAATGAGTGAAGGTCAGGGGCCATCCGGAGCTGCAAAGGAAGTTGGTTCCAAAGGGTGGGTGTGCCCACAGAGAAAGCTCTCCCCCTGGGAATCACCAGCCGACATTGTCTGGCCGACGGCACCCTGAGGAGGCCCTTTCTGTGGGAACACACCGGGCGATTGGAGATTGCTGCTGGCTGCAGGGGGTCTGACAAATATCCCAGGCCTAGGCCATGAAGGGCTTTATAGCTGATAACCAGCACCTTGAACCTCACCTGAAGGGCAACCAGTAGCCAATGCAGGTCGCGCAGGAGGGGTGAAACATGGGAGTGTCGGGACGCTCCCATCACAACCCACGCGGCCGCATTCTGCACCAGTTGAAGCCTTCGAGTGGTTTTCAAGGGCAGCCCTAGGTAGAGAGCGTTGCAGTAGTCAAGACGGCAGGTGACCAGCGCATGAGTAACGGTGCGTAGGGCATCTTGATCCAAGTAAGGGTGCAGCTGGCGCACAAGGTGGACCTGGGCAAATGCCCCCCTGGGCATGGTCGCTACATGATCTTCCAGAGACAACCGTGATTCCAGAAGGATACCAAGTTGTGGGCCATATCCACAGGGGGTAACACCTCACCCCCTGATGTGGTACATGGAAAGTGCCAGAAAACTGGAGAAAAACCAATGTTGTTTTAGACTTTAAAAAAGGGAAAACAGTAAAAAGAAACAAAACTACAGACCAATCAATTTGACATTAATACCTGAGAAAAGCCTAGAAAGATAATCAAGCAGTGGATTTGCAGACATTTAGAAAGGAACAAGATGCCTACTGAAAGATAGGATGAAGTTGTTAAAAATAGATGGTGTTAGACAAATTGTACTATTTTACAAAGTGATTAGATTAGTAGACCTAGGGAATGGCACGACTTAAATGAGAAGATAATAAGAATGCTTTTTCTTATTTGCAGGTAAACATAAATCTTGGTGGAAGGCAGTGGGTGGGGGGAATTTCTACCAGGGAAAACAGGCACAGTATTTGGAAGGATTTTGACAGATGTGAATATAGGACAATACCAAAAAATATGCAATTTAATGGTGATAAATGTAGGGTTCTACACTTATCTGGAAAAAGAAAACAACAACTATGCAGGTCAGGATAGGCAATACCTGATTCAGTAGTAGGTGTGGGGAAAAAATTGGACATCCTAGCAGATCATAGCTTAATATGAGCCAGCAGTTTTCTTCAGTTGCCAAAAGAACCAGTGTAATCTTGCATTTCAATAGAAGAAAAGTGTTGTGACAACAAAGATAGTGAAGGTATTGCAGGCTGATCCTATGAAGAACAGTTAAAGGAATGGAGAATATTTACCCTACTGAAAAGAAAGCTAAAGGGAGGGATTGCAGCTATCTTCCAATATTTGAAGGCCTGTCAAAACGAAGAGAATGTGGATTTATTACCCATGGTGCCTGAGTGTAGGACAAGAATCACTGAAGAGGAAGGAACTCAAAATAAGAAGGCATTTTCTGACTTTTTAAAGGAATGAAATACCCTGCCTTCTGGGATTGTAGGTGCTAAAATTGCCCAGACTTTTGTTTAGACAAGTACTAAGATTTCCACACTGGGTAGGAGATTAGACTCGAAGATCTCCAGGTTCTTCCAACCTCATGACTCTGTATCTTACATTAACTCCGTGAAACCTTTTCTATGAAGGCGAGAAGAGGGCATGGATCAGGCATTCTCACAATTCCAGATTGCTATTTATATCATGTAAAAGCATATGGAGGTGTAGAAAAGTGAGCCAGCATGATTCCTAAAATTGATATGTTTGGTGGAAAGGATTTCTGTGTTAAACCTACTCTTCATAACAGACATGCTTGAAACATGGAAATGTTCTTCTAGAATTCCAAGAAATGAGAGTGTGCTATTCTCTACCATTTTAAAAGAAGTATAACTACATATCTTCATGTTTGTTTAAATTCCTTCATAACTAAATGAATAAATCAAAGTAACTTAGGATGGTTTTTTTTAACAATTTCATTGACTTTTCAGATTGTTTTTAAGCTGTTTTTTAAACTTTAAAGGAAACACTGATACTGCGTTCCAATTGGTAAAACAGAAAATCCCCTTCAAATATAACCGACCCGTAGAGGAATGGCTGCAGGAAAAAGGTAACCATTATTAAAACTTTCATTTTAAATCCATTTGATTCTAAACCCTCATTTTTAAAGCCTGCAAATAAATGTTTCTTAAACTGGAATCGCCTGCTGCATAAATGACTTTTAATTTTCATTATAATTTGTGTCAACTTCCACCTGCCATATGTTGATAAATCATGCTATAATACATTGCTATTAAAACCAAGTTAAAGGGACGAAATTCAAAGTTTACTATAAAAAAACTAAGAAAGAAGCAAAAGCTAAGACACCATTTAAAAACCAAAAAGGAAAATGAAACAACATGTATTATGGCTACATAACCACTGCATGAACTATTTTTAAATAATATAATCTACATCTTTCTATGTATCTCATCAAATTTGTCTTAAACTTGTTTAGAAATCTAATTGTTCAAACATTATTTTCAGATATCCCATTCCCTTTTAAATAATGTTACAGTTATGACTGCCCTCATCATTTTAATGAAGCTAATGTGTTTTGGGTATTTATTTCTCCAACCCCTGAATCCTAAGGGATAGCATTTAAATGTTCATATAAGCTCTATAGGGAAAAGTGAAAAAAATGATGTGTATTTTTCAGAATACACCTTGTTTCAATATTGTTTACACTAGTGTTTTTCAATTTTACAACTTTAAGATGTATGGATTTCAGCTCCCAGAATTCCCTAGCCAGCCATGTTAAAGTTGCTACAATTGACAAATATTGGCCTACATAATATAGAAAATCATGCCATGGAATCTTGCTGCATGATGCAATAACGTATTCCCATTTGGATCAACAGAACAGACCTGCAGATACATTTTTTTTAATTGATGCATTAATGAGAATGCTAGTAGTCTAGCCACAGGTAACTGATTTGTATTTTAAGACTAGCTATTCTCATCCTTGGTTGCACTCTACACATATCTTATACTTACCTAAGGGTAAGTCTCATTGAACTCAACCAATTTTTCTTCTGAATAAAGTTTTGTGGACTTTTGATGCATACCTTAACTAAACACAAAGATGAATCCATCTGCAAAAAATATACATCTATATGCAATATCATTTCTATGTGGACATTCTAGATTGAAACTATTGTATTTTAGAAATGTAGGGCAAGCATGCTTGTTTTCTGTTTAACAGTTCACAAATCCATTGATTTCCCAAAGTAATATATAGTCCATAGAAGAAGCAACTCAAATATGCTCACAAATATATTGCAATGGTTTAATGAGAATTCTACAGCTGCTTAACCACTTCCCAAAGAAAGTTGATTGCAGATATTCCTCATGGGATATAGTTCAAATCTTATTGAAATAAATATAGAGTTTACAACAGGGGTGTCAAACTGATGGCTCAAGAGCCAGATGCATCACACACTGGCCATTCCCATCCCCAGTTTAGCGAAGGGGAGAAAAGTTGCAATACATCACATGAGGACAATGTGTTGTCGCGAGTTTGACACTCCTGGTTTATAATAAGAGTGTTCTAGGGGAAGTTAACTATTTTTAAATCCAACTATCCCATTTCAGTTAACTTATAATGATCTCAACCAATAGAGCCTATCAATAGATAAATTTTTGTACACAGATATTTTTCCCTCTATATACATTTGTTTATAGTGTACCATATTGAAATTTGTCCTTGAAGTTTTGCCAAGTGTTGAAAAATGAGTTCCACATCCATACTAATCAGTTAAAGAACTGGTTGGCTAAGGAATTCTGGGAGTTAAAGTCCACAAGTCTTAAAGTTGCCAAGTTTGGAGACCCTCTAGTTAGAAGATAAACTTTACATATTTTATAATGCACATAGTTTCTGTCATCAGCCTTTTTGAATCTGACTCTTTTGAATACAAAAATTTTGTTTAAATACCACAAGCTGAGTTACAAAGCTGATTCTTTTTCCACAGCTTGGGTATGATATAAAATAAAACATATCAGGTCCAATTTTATAATTTAGGAAATCCTGGACCAACTTTTGCTTACCTTTTTAAAGTGTCTCTGCTAGAAAAAACACATTGGAGTTTTCAGAATTGGTTTTGAATTTCAGATTTGTTTTCAGATTTGAATTTCAGATTTGTTTTTTATTTCAAGAGCATACATTGAGTAAACTTATTATTTATTTCCCCATTGATAGGGTAAGCTTTTAAATGGTTGTCTATGCATAAAAATAACAATTCACACACACACATTACTCTCTAAATTTGAGAAATATGATAAAATGTGTTAAAGGGAAGGTAGTCCTTTAAATGCATAAATAAGAGTAAAATAAGGAAAAATAAAGGAACCATGGCAAAGGATAAAGGGTTTGAAGAAATTTACCCAAACAAATCAAGAGAAATAGAGTGAATCATTGGAAATGTAATTCAAACTGTTCAAATAGTGTCCCTAAACTAATTTGTCCTATTTCAGGAAATTTTAAATTGCTGATAGATTCCCAGACATAAATGGTATTGCTAGTTAAGACCATAGAAAAATCAAAAACATACTAGCAATGGAGCCTGGATGAGAAGTTTAGATTAGAACATAGTTACAAATGCTACTTTCAGTCCTAAACTGAAAACAAGGCTGTCCTATATTAGAGTCTGCAAAAACTGAAGTGCATTTTTTTTTTCTGTTCAATCATGTCTGATTCTTGGAGACTGCAGGAGCAAGTTTTTGCTGATTTCTTGGCAAGGTTTTTCAAAAATGGTTTGCCATTGCCTCCTTCCTAGGGCTGAAAGAAAGTGACTGACCCAAGGTTACCCAGCTAGCTTTGTGCCTAAGCTGGACTAGAATTCATGGTCTCCCAGGTTCTAGCCAAACATCTTTTAACCAGAGAGGTAATAACCTCCAAGATCAATGGTCAGATGTGGTTGCTAAATTGTGATTTAGTTTGATGGGTCACTACATATAGAACTGACCTAAAACATTCTGTTAGTGCTATGTTTGATAATTAAGGCAGCAGCATAATAAACAATGATTGAAACTCCTGAATGTGATCAGTGTCTTTGAGAATAGATTTTTAAAATGTAAATATATTTAGTCTAAAATAGGAGTGTCAAACTCAAGGCCTGTAGGCCGGATCCGGCCCATGGGATGCTTAGATCTGGTCCAAGGGGCGGACCTGGAAACTTCGAAGAACTGGCCCGCAGTGCCTCTGCTAGCGAAAATGGGCTCTCAATCTCTGTTTTAGGCTGGGACGGCCTCCTGCAACCCTCTGCCAGCGAAAATGGAGCTTGGGAGAACCGTCCCAGCCAAAACAGAGATTGGGACCCCGTTTTCGCTGGCAGAGCACTCAGGCTGCCACTGGCGCCCCTGACACGATTAATGTCAAGTTGGCCACACCCACCCTGGCCCCCAAGATCAAACACAACCCTGATGTGGCCCTCAATGAAATCGAGCTTGACACCCCTGGTCTAAAAAGTGGATAACTTTCTTTTGCTAATCTCAAAAGGATAAAGTCCCTTTAACACTAAAGACAACAATGGCCTTGCTTTTGTTAAACCGGTGCATGCCCAATGCTGTGATGAAGCTCATTTGCCTGAAAACCTGCTGTTGTTTTGTAGTTTTTTTCCTCCTCTCTTTAGTTTTACTTTTTGCTCTTTTGTTTCTTTATTTCCTAAGCCTGAGATAAGCATGCTGAAAGATGTTTACATGTCTACTGTCTTAAGAGTTCTGAAATTGATGTTTTTGCCATTGTCAGTGGTGATGGTGGTGATGACGATGAACACAATTTGATGATGTTGCTTTGTTAAAAGACAATCACATAAGACAAGCACAATCTAAAGAAAACCACAGAGATCTCAAACATTTTTAGGGAGCGCAGGGTGAGGTGGGCCTTGACATGGAGTATCCTAAATCATTTTGTACTATTTAGTAGGGCTGTATACACTTTAAAAATGATTCAAAAGATCTGCTTTAACTTTATGCAAAAAATAAGCACAGCACCAAGGCAATCATACATCTGCTTTTAGGCTTCCATAAGCTTTACATTAAGGATGGGCTTTTTAATTCCATTCATTAAAGCTCCCTCATAGTTTTTTCAAGTTCATACAAAAGGCTGAAAAAATGCATGCCATATAAGCAGAGAGGTCACATGCTTGGGTAAAGGCAGAAGCATACTCCTTCCAAATTGTTTTTTGGAGCATGACAGCCCTACGATCTAGCTTATCATAGAATGGGATATACTATCATTTTCTATAATATCAGATTTTTAAAAACATGGTATTTTGATTCGATGTTATTTGGACATCTGATAAACTATAGAGTGGAGGGAAACCATACTGGTACCAACCTGTCATTTATTCACTCATCTACACTTTGCCAGCCCATGCAGTCATTCATTTATTTCTTAATGCATCAAGAAAGTCTTATGTCAGACAACCTCTTAAAGATGATGAGTGAGAGGATAGATAGCTATCAAAATGGAACATGATAAATTGATGGCTGCCAAGATGGATGGATTGCTCTGTCAAAGAGAGAGCACTGAGAGTAGCTATCTGCCAGACGTAATGGACCTATAGTAGAATAATTTACAATTAACACAATGGATGCCATGCCAAGAAAGTTGGGTGTCCTTGAATCCCAGCAAAACTAATGGCACTTAAGTACATAATGAAATTCTTAAGTGGTTTTTTAAAAGTGATTGAATTGTGGGGGTGGAATTAAAAGCATGTTTGCAAGGAATGAGAAAGCTGTTTCTCCATTATAGGGAAGAAAGAAGGGAAGAGAACAAAATGATATTTAACAAGAATTTACAATTTAAATGGATTGTTCCTGTAAATTTTTATCCAAAAATCTATTAATTCAGCAATGCATTATCTGTATGCACATTTACTTAGGAATTTGATTCATTTAATTAATATGCATAAAGATGTGTTCTATCAATCAACTTCACAAATTTTATTTGTATAAAATCAAAAATTAGAATTAAGTTTAATTCTCTTGTGTAGTTGGCAGTTATCTATTTATAACTGCATAACAGCTAATAAACAAAAGGAAATTAAAATGTATTTGGGCTTTCAAGTGCTTAAGAACAATCCAGTGCTTGTATTACTATTCCCATTATACATAACTTTTCATTAAACATAAGCCTTCTCCATTCTACCATCTTCTGAGTAGTTGGGGATTGTAATTCTAGAATTCCCAAGTACCATAATCACTGGAAATGCTAGCTGGGAATTCTGGCTATTGCATGCCAAGCACATCCAGAGGTTGCCAGATTAGAGCAAGGACATAGTCTTTATACTACGGTAACACACCCAGCATTATAGTATTTCTGCCCACTGCTATCCTGTGTCTGTGAGTAATGAGAGAGAGAAATAGACAGAGGGAGAAATCACATGTTTTCATTTGATGATGCATGGAAAACAAGCACCAACTTTTGAACTGTGAAGTGAGAACTGGGGCTACTGCAGCTATCATATATGCCCAAACAGTTATGCTAAATTCAGCTATTCTGAAATACCAGAAACATGCTTGCTGTTTCATGTTTTCCTTTTCTTTGTAGAATAGGAAACATTAAAATGCAATGTATAAAAATTCAGAGATCTGCTGCTACCCATTCCTGTTTCACGAATGAAGCCAGGACAAATAATCATTATGAACTCTGGATAGCAATAAAGTGGTTATTTAAAGACTGTTCAGTGCTCAGTATATTGACAGCAGCGCCCAAGTCTGGGAGAGGGTTACATACTGTCATTTATTTTCAGACTGAAAAAATGAGAATGAGAAAATAATTATAAATATATTCCAGCATACATGTTGTTGTCTGCGGGAAGATGCAGTATATCACCCAACTTAGAATAAATTGGCAGTTGATGGCTGATTTTGAAGCAAATGGCACAAAACTACCTCATCCATCAGCTGCTGATTTTTGACAAGTTTTAGACAGATTTGTAGCTTTAACTCCAAAATTCAACATTATGAACCAGATCAATACATTCTGTAGTGCAATTGGTATTCTGATGGCCAGAGTTTTCTTTTTTCTTTTTCTTTTTTAGATTTCCTTTATTGTTTTGTCAATAGGAAAACCAGATTATATGGACATTTTTAAATTCAAAACCAAATCAAATTGATTTAAAGGGTTACAAATTATACCTATCCTGGATGAAATAGTGTCAAGCACTGCTTGTCTTTTATGTAAACCATAAAAGAACGGAATAAGGAGAACCTCATCTACAACTGGTCCTTGTTTAGCAACCACTTGTTTAATTATGTTTGATGTTATAATGGCACTGAGCAAGGAGACTTAAGGTTCATCCTTGAAATGGCAGCTGTCGCAACATGCCCACAGTCATATGATCATGATTTGGGCACTTGGCAACCACAGTCACATGATTGACATTTGCGATCTTGACTGCTGGCTTCTGGCAAATAAAGTCAATGAGGAAATCATAAGTTGCAGTCACTTGATGTTTCATTTAATGACCACACACAATGCATTTAACAACTACTGCCAGAACTGCCATCATAAGTCGGCATGGTCACATGAGTTTAGACAGCTTTAAAACCTGTTGCTTAGTGATGGAGTTCCAATTTCCATAGTTAACTGAGGATTACCTATACTACACAATTTCCATTCTCTTAGTCACAATGAGCTCCCAGTACTACAGTAATGCCTTTGAAATAGAGAATATATGCAAAACCGTTTACTAACTTTCTTATTTTGTAAGAATGAGCTCTATCACATTAGGAAAGATTGAGGTCTGATCTGACATTTCAGCTGTGCATGTTTCCTCTATACATTTTTTTTCTTTTTTCCCATTGTTTTCCACTTGATCATCAAGTAAAAATGTTTCACACAAGTGGTTTTAGTTAAAAGCAGATCCTCCAGAGACCTGTGATTGTCCTTTTAGCAAACACACACTTTTAATGTCAGTGTTTTGTTATAAAATGTAGCTGTGCTATATGTTGCCTGCCTTGTCAGCTACGCTAGAAGAAGAAAATCATCAAGAAGAAAACACATGCATTTTCTTTTTTAAAAAAAAATTAGGTAATCTGTTTCAGGTAATTGTATCTAGGATGTTGGAACAATATGCATGGTTATATTTCTAAAACAAATAAATCAAATAAAGCTTTCTCATTTGCTTACACATGTTCAGTTGCTCTCCCTCACACACTAGCACCAATGGAGTTTCACAGCCTTTTTAAACTCCTATTGGAGGACACAAATTTTGGAAAGCAACAGTGAAGTAAATATTTAAACCTCTCTTGCCCATTCATAATGGTTTTGAACTAGACTGGATCTTACATGCAACAACAGCAATAAACAATCAGAGATTAAATGCAAATTTGGTTTGGTTTTATACAGCTAGATCTATGAAGTAACTTAATGAACATAGCATGACTGAAATACCTAAGACGGAAATTAACTGAAGACTAATTTCAACAGTTATTAAATTAATTTATTGGATTTTGAAGCTCTATTACTCCAAACAGACTCTGGGTGTCTTAAAACTATTTAAAGTACATGCTGGTAATTTAAAAATCATGATCACCAGGACAGAGCCAAATAAATAAAATACACAAAAATGTGATGGGCTCCACAAGTACTCTAACCCCAGGCCTGGAAACAGAGCTAGGTATAAGAAACTTCCAGAATCCTCTGAGAGTAGTAACCATAAACTCTCGGGGATGCTGTTCCAAAGATCATGGGCCGTGAGAGAGAATGTACTAAATCTGGGTTTAGCTCTGAGTTTTCTGAATAACCTAAGCATTGTCAAAGACAGTGGTTGATACTATGGGTGTCTACCAACTAAAAACAGAAGAAATTAATTAAAAGTAAGATGCAAAATCTGTCCTTGACACATGCAGTTCTATCTCAAAACAAACTAGCAAGGTTCTTTGATAGGTGAAGCATTAACTAGGAACGCGATGGTCATTTTCACATGATACGTTCAAAGTCAAAATAGTTGTCATGGATCCTGTAATATGAATTACAGAATTAAGCAAGGATTAGACTCAATGGCCTAACATGTCTCTTTCAATTTCCAAAGACATTCCATAATTTTTTCCATTTAAAAACAGTTTACTTATAACACACTGGGAAGTACTTACAATCCTTCAAAGAAAGAAACATGACTCAGAACAAGTTGGATTTGCATGTAGGATCTTTTGGAAACTCCTTAAATCAAATACATCTGTTCCTAGGATTGTGTGGCAGATACAAAGGGCAGCTGCACAACTCCAGGAAAAAACTATCTGAAAGTGTTTTCAACAGGTGCTATAGGCACACCTGTGTTTTTTCCCAAACCACATCACTCCCTTAAGTATGGCACAGCCCTACAAATATATTTCATTAATGACAAGTCTTCCATGGTACATTCAACAAGTGCAATTTCTTTTCTAAATACTATATGACAATTATACTCTACCCATCTTTTGGTGATCTCCAAAGAGTGGGTATAGTAGTTTTTTTTGTCTTTGGTTCTCCTGGGATTGTTAAAGAAACTAAAAGTATGTTTTAAGGGAATCCACTAATTTTGCTATGTGTAATTAGACATGAAGGATGTCATTATCAGAATACCAGTTGGGTCTCATGGCAGTGTTTGGTCAATTTTTAATAGTTTGAGGGGAAAATTAGAGTAAATTATGTAGATAACTTTCCAGTTTCTAGAAGTTATTTTTTAAAATGCTATTTTCTGGCTGTTGGTCATAGAATCTGGTCATAAGTTTTAAAATCTCATTGCCTCTCTGCAGCTTTTGTTTCTGGACCCCAAGAAAGGGATAGGGTACAAGGGGAAGGGTTGTTTTTTTTTTAAAAAATAAGACTGGCTCTGTACTGTATTATATAAAGCCATAAATGTCCAAAGGAATTGAGAGAAGAGCTTTTTCAGAATATCAAGGCTGGTTGAGCCTTTCAAACTGCAAATCTGAATTACTTAAGGGTTATTATAGCTTTCCAAGCTAGGACATTTTCCCCACTCTATATTTTAGCCTTCTTGGGGGAATTGATTAATTCCTCTCAGAAACGTACCCATTCAAATAACATGGGTAAGTTTTGAGCAGAAGTCCTAATTTATGTGTAATTTTGTGGCAGTTAAACAGCCTATACATTTTTTCCCTATGGAAAAGGCAGAGACTGATAAAGTATTTTCCTCAAGTATCATTTTCCAGCTGATAGCACTGCATGAGAATGAAAAGAAAAATGCAGTTAATGTTATAGTATCTCTGAAAAAAAAAGATCCTGTGAATAGAATTGTATGTCCAAATTTAATGAGAGCCCATTAGAATTTTCCATGTGATAGCTGATACTATTATGTCATTACTTGAAAGAGTTTGGAGTGAACATAGTCTTATTAGTACAATCATTTTCTATAATCTAAAAATGTCTGTAAGATTATCACTATAGCAATTATTTTTTTAATTTAAAAAATTGAGCCTAGCCAGATTTACTATTCTCTCACACAACAGATAAATGCAACATGCCACTCCCAAGCTACATGCAACAAATCCATATGATAAGGTTAAGAGGGCATGAGAGGAAAGAGATAATAGAAGAGATTTCAAAAATTAAGATTTAATTGCTTTCCAAGGACAAAGTATATCAATCCTTTCATTTTTTTCTTCTTTTAATTTGCTGTTTTTACATTTGTACACTAGTCCATCTTTGCTTAATGAAGATCTGTTTCTTGTTACGGTAGTGGAGAGCACATGAAGATGTGCATTCCGCTTCCTCAAACTCTCAGCATTTCCCATAAACATCTACTTTGCTTGGTTAGCTAGGATCCTCCTTGGGAATAGGAATTCCTTTCAGATACATTTCTTCTCTTGTCCCAATTCTCTTCCCCATGACCCATCCCGTCACCATTAGATGATGCAACACCGCATCACCACTTGACTTCGAGACCAGCCACGACGACCAAAATTGGTGAGCTCCCCCTCCTATTCTGATCTACTTTAATCACAGGGAATCAGTAATTGGGTTTAGATTCTATTTTACAACACAGTAGAATTTGGCATTTATCAGGATAGAACAGAGAAAGAAAGTGGTGAGTGTTCACGGGAGGAGGGGAGGGAATGGACATGTGTGTGTAAATGTTGGGAGAAGTGGACTGAATGAAATAATACTAATTCCACTTTATTTTCTGAAATGTGGCTAGTATGGTTCTTTATTTAGTGGACATTTACATTTAATACACTCTAAAACACATGAATAAATATTAAATCCAGGTGAGTTTACATATTGGATTTATCATATAAAATTTATAGCTGTCATTTGGAAAGCTGAATGCAAAGAAATCATATATAGAAGGAATGTAATTCTTGAAAATTTCTGTTAATTTTCCAGAAATGATGAGGCAAGAACAACAGAAAGAAAAAAGTTTTGTCAAAGTTTGAATTGTCTTTTTGAATTAATGGGATGAATACATCCTTGATTTGTATGTAGAATGAAGAATTGGCAGTTATTTGTGGGGTCCATTCTGATTAGAATTGAATTCTTCCTGCTTTCCTTTAAGGAATTGGGAAATTCATTTCTGAAATCTCAAGGAAGATTCACTATGATAATTCTGTACAATCAAATGTGGGTTTCTGACACATGATTAGTACTGGTGAAGAAAAAACAATCCTTGGAAAAAATGGTGGATGATATTGTAAAACTTGCTGACCGTTCATTTTGAGATCCTAGCAGAGCTGAGGTTCACCACTATATTCTCTCTTTTCAAAATGTCCCTCCAATAAAATTGCTTACTAGTCAAAGCATAAGCTACTTTTCAAAGATCAGCCTGTGTTTAGGAACTGATACTTTAAAGAAAAGGCTATAAGAATCCTTCTTGCTCGGATTTGGTTTTCTGCATCAAAGGGGTACTGTTTTGATTTCCATAACTTCAGTGTGAGGTAGAAATGACTGCATAGAGTTTTACTGTGAAAGTGAGGTACCCAAGAAATAGAATTGTTTGTTTCTACTAATTTTAAGATATATTTTGTTTTCTTCAACAGAAATGATAATCCAATATTGTCTTAAAGTTGCACTTTATTTAAATGCAGATTATATCCTCATTTAGAGATATAGTTATTTTATGTTTTAAGGAGTCATGAAGCATACATTTATCCATCTTTTAATACTATATCTTTTTCCAAGTCATAGGACAGGATTCAATCTTTGTTCAGTCCATGCAAGGATCCAATTTTCTTCAATTCCATAATATGCAAAAATCAGAGTAGTTTCATTGAACTGAACTCTCTCAGATTCTCAGGAAAAAAAAAACGCTGCAGAATGATTGATCTTAAAACTGGATTGAGTTCATCACTTGGGTGAAATTTGGAATCCCGGCTTCTGCTAAATATGTTGATATTTATGAGAATAAGGCCAAGAAAATCTGGGTCCATTGTTATTTGTTTGATCTGGTTTATCCTAATTTGTAACACAATGAGACAATTTTTTTGTAGTATTGCATTCCAGTCACTCAGCCATCACAATTGCCATCACCACCAATGTCAGAAAACTCGTTCTGATCTTCCACCCATTCAATCAGGACATAACATAAAACATTTTGGTTTTTAAAAAAGGGGGAAGAATTTTTCTGGCAATAACAATGTTCACCCCCCTTCACTTAGGACGACAGTTAACGATCTTCAACACCCAGGCTCAAATAGCCATTGGAGGAAAAGATAGAGGGCGTCTCTTCCAAGGTCAGCTTTCCGGTCTCTATTACAATGGCTTGAAAGTGCTGAACATGGCAGCAGAAAACAACCCCAACATCAAAATCAATGGAAGTGTTCGGCTGGTTGGTGAAGTGCCATCTATTCTGGGGACAGCTCCCACAACCTCTATGCCACCAGAGATGTCCACCACTGTCATGGAAACTACCACGACTATGGCCACTACTACAACACGAAAAAATCGCTCCACACCTACCATTCAGGTAAGCTGAATGTTTTGTGTTCCTATGTTTTCAGGCCTATTTTTTTTTCTTTTCTTTTTTCAGATGGAGATTTTTTACCAAAATAAAATTAAGAACAAAAATAGATATTTGCCATATTTTGATATTGTTATTTATTTGCCATATTTTGATATTGTTATTTATTTGCCATCATTCAGTGATGCTCTTTTAAACCCTCTTCATTTTACCCATGAGCATGAAGAATAGCATTTGATTTTTTTAAATCATGTGATAAATGAATCATGTGAATTCTAACTATCCAGTGCCAATGCATCCATGTAAACCACCTGGATTTTCTGAATGCTTATATTCCCACATCTGTTTGCCGGCTTCAGATCAATTGAAGAATTACAATTTTAAGAGCTGTAAGAAGTAGTACCACCATTCCAATAGCAATTTAAATATTCCAATGTATATCCTTCCTATTAAATGGAAGTCTCTCCATTCAACTCAGTTTTATTTTAAATGTGTTAAATTCTTCTAATCCTTAATGACAGCTAAAGTTGTTTTAGGAGACTTACTGGTTTCTTTGGATTCTTAGAGACAAAGTCAGGCATTGTTAGCGTAATTTGTCCAGTGGTATGATGCATAATATTCTTCTGATGATAATATGTGGAAGTAAAAAGGCTGATGGGTCAAATAAATCTCTTATGTTGTTTAATTCTTGGCTGTAGAAATTGATCAACACAATTTAGAACTTTTAGCCTACAAGTCAAATTAAAATGATTCCACATAATCTTTTTCATCTAAGAAAACCACCATCTTGCCAATGTTTTATTCTCCCCAAATAAATTGAAACTGATAATTATCCCTGCTGAGTCCAACAAGAGCTTCAGGACAAGAAGACTTACAACTACTTCTTTGAGGCTTATAAAAAAAACCAACCCTTCTAGTGGCATGTGTTCTTGATACAGGCATTAGTGCTAACCTACTTAGCTAATTACTTTCTGATATTTTTCATGATGTAACAAAGGTGGCAGACCTCAAGCTCTGCAAATTCAATCCAAACCATTCTATATGTTAAATATTTATAATTAGCATGCTATACTTTTGTTAAAGTGCATATAAAATCTTCTGAAAAAATAGTTATAGTCTGCTTTACATTTTTTATCTACACCAAAGGAAGTAAACCTCACCATCATCATTGGCATCCTTCAGCCTCAAGAAACTATGGTATTGTGCTCTGGAAAGAGGTCCTAAAACAGCATCTAGTGTGATTAAAAAGGCCAATTTGAGAGTGTCAATCCCTTCCACATTGAGGGCAACTACATTCTGTCCCCTGCCCAGCCCCCAGATTTCGCTGGTTCCGGGGCTGCCTTTTTGCCTCAGCCTGCCGAACAAGTTTCTCTTCAAATTGGAGAAGGCCATGCTGCGTCGTTAGCCTCCAAGCTGAATGATTGGAGGTCAAAATTTCCCAGTTGTTAATGTCCATTCCCAGGGCTTTTAGGTCCCTCTTGCAGATATCCTTATATCGCAGCTGTGGTCTCCCTCTGAGGTGCTTTCCCTGCACTAATTCTCCATACAAACCCCATAGGCTCTGATTAAAATAGTAACAAGCAACAGATGTTTTATTCCATATATTATACATTTAAGTAGGCATGTTGAAGTTTAGGTATTTTTTAACATATATAGAATTACTTTATGAATAACCCAAAGGTGCTTTTCAAAGGCAACTGGACTTTCTTGGGTTTTTTCTTTTAAAACATTTTACTTTTCATTGGAGAAGCTTCTTCAGTTCAGAAGAATTTCCTTCATTTTCAAGGAAAAAAACCAAGAAAATCCAGTTGCCTTTGAAAAAACATCTTTGGGACAACCATACCTGGATGATTGAGAATCTCCATATATACTTTAGTAATATAACTTATTAAGCAATCTAATCATTTAGTAACTGATTAAGCTACCTAATCATTTGCAAAATATCTTTGCAAAGGTTTGCTTTCCCTTTTACTTGTGATTCTCCACAATTCTTGAGTATCGTCTTTTTTTAAATAGATCTTTATGTGATACTTGCCATCTTAAACAAAAAATTAAACACTCTTATCTTCAGTGAGACAAGAACTATCCTGAAACTTGTATGTCTCTTAAAATTGCTACCGAGTATCCATAAAATACTTACAATCTGTGTTCTTCAGTTCCTTGTCACAATTCTGCTTCTTTTACATCATGAAAGACATATAGCACTGATTTAAATTGTTAGCTTCAAAAGGTGGGTTAAAAAAGTACTAGAATGATTTAATAAAGCACACATCAGAATTTAGAAACATAGTTTGAACAATGATATCCTGAATCCACCTACACTACAACTAATGCCTTGGCTGATATTAAAGCAGTAACTCTTGACATTTCATTCTTCTCACCAGAAGGAAGGTAAAAGTCAATATGCACTTTTGTTACAACTCACTGTCTCTCAAGAGCAAATCAATTTATTACCATCATGGTGAAAGATAATTCTTTCTTTCATTCACCTGGTAAATATGTTCAGTTCCATCTGAATAAGCTATATTAAACACAGATGATGCTTTCTGCTAAAGATACAATGGAAGGTGGGGGGAAACATAGGTCTATCTTTTATGTTGTGCTTTATTTAAAATGTCAAACTCAGGGCATCAGGGCAGCGTCACGTGATGTATTGCAGCTTTTCCCCCCTTCACTAAACCAGGCATGGGCGTGGCCAGCACATGACGCATCCAGCCCATGAACCGCAAGTTTGATACCCCTGATCTAAAGTAACCATGTCCACCACAAAATACCCTTTCTGATTTTTCAGAATTATTAATTTATTTTATCTATTTCATTAGATTTAAAAGACCATAGACTTTTCAGCCAAATGCATATAGATGCTCCCCTGGGATTAGGAACTCTGATTGGGGCATAATTTAGTTAAGTGAATTTTACTCTACTGATAAGCAGCAGTTACTGTATTAGAATCTTTTTTATAAGCTCTGCAGCATTTTGCGAATTTGGAAACCGTCTCTCTGTTCATGCCAGTAGAAATTAGTGGAGCTAATAATACTGTGTTGCCTGCTTGAGATTTTATGTTTGTTCCATTTAATGAAGCACCTCCGTATCTGACTATCAGAACTGCCTGCTGATCCTAACTGAAAATGTAGATTTTACAATATGCGTTTGTTCTGTAGTCAAGTTTAAATTGTTTGGAAATCATATGTGTGGTGTTAAATTGTTCTCAGAGACCCTGAGGCCCTGACATACCAGGTTCTCCCATCAAACAGTACCTTTTGAAAGAATTTCACTTCGCCTTGCTGCTGTGCGTAGGATATTGAAGCATATGGTAATTGTGTACTTAAATGATTCTGGTTTTAATACCATTATGTCTTGGAGTGCAGGCTGATGTTAGAGTGGGGCTGTACTGCATCCAAATGAGAGGGATGATGTTCTTCCTTTTAGTCATGCTATCACTGGAGCCTTGCTCCTATAGTTGAAAATTGTATACTTGACCTGACCACCCTTCTCACCTGAGCAAGGAGCTTTTTTAATTGGTCAGAGCTCATCATGAAAGCTCTCAAAGAGTCAGACCTTGTTAATACCGAACTGAGAAAATTTACGACCTTAGGTTGGTCTGCAATTTTATATATACATATACATACATACATACATACATACATACATACATACATACATACACACACACACACACACACACACACACACACATATATATATAAATTTAAAGAAGGCAATTGCAACCCACTTTTATACTGTTTCCAGGAAACTGTATGACAAGTGCATGTCTTTACCTTTAAATCTGATGACAACTTTTATTTATTTATTTAAGAATCTCTCAGTGACTCTGGGAGGCTTACAAAAACAAAAAGAATGATTTCTCAGGATTGATTTATCCCCAGGCAATGTTTGGGGACAAATCCCCAAGCTTTGATGTTTCAAAGCATTCCTAAGGGATGAGTATATAGAAAGACGGGTTGCTCGGCATTTTCTGTCTGTCTGTCTATCATTTATTGGCAGTTCAGCTGGTATCACTTCATACTTTACTAACCAACATCATCATAGTAGTTGAACTGAGCTAAGTGTGCCTAAGAATAAATAAGGAAACTGTACCCTAAAATAAATAAGTTAATTAGGCTTCTCACATTTTGTTCAGGCACTTGAAGCTAAACACTATCTAAATGTTCAGATATTTCTGTGGGAATGCAACAAACTAATTTATCTATCCAATGAAGGTGGAGGCATGAAGTACTGATCTGAATGATTAAAATCATATATATTACAATTATGTGATATCAAGGCTCAGAAATAGAATTCCATGAACCCCAGGTAGGAGTGAATACGTTTACTAAATCCTACAAACAGAAAGGGAGCTTGCATGCTGAATCTTCTTCCCGTTCTTCCTGCAGGCACGCAAATATTGTCAGGGTGAAGAGAATCCACTGAATGCTGAAAAGCTTAAAACATATCTTACGGGGCTTCAGTACAGTAGGAAATCACTTAAAAATAGTCAAAGAAGTGTCCTGTTTTTGCTAATCCCTCCCTTCTACTACAGTTCTGGAATACTGTGAGTCATAGAATTTTGAGCAACACATTGCCATAAGGTCTGGGAACACTTATTTTCACTCGGCCTTGTGAGGAGGAGATTTGTCACTCTAATTATCATATTTTTCAGAGTATAAGACACACTTTCCCCCCACTAAAAGTGGGTAGAAATGTCTGCGTGTCTTATACAGTGAATGTTGCTTAAGCCCCGGCCCCCACCCTTCAGTCATCTTCATCCTCTGCATGTCACAGTTTTGGCCTCTGCACGCTCCTTTTTAGACTCATTCCAGGCTGTGGCAATCACCACAGCACATCATCGCTGATCACCGCCTCTGTGCATCATATTTTTGGCCTCCATGCGTTGCATTTTTGACCTCTGCATGCCCCGTTTTAGACCCGTTCCAGGCTGCGGGGTTCACCACAGCACCTCACTGACAATCACCTCCTCTGCGTGTCACATTTTCAGCCTCTGCGAA